GGCACAGGCCCAGAGAGCTGGCTGGGCCCACCCGCCTGTCCCCACAGCAGCCCCAGCCAGAGACATTTTGTTTCATTTATTGTTTAGTTCTTTTTTGTGATAGGGCACATGCACTTGCCAAAGAGACAAAGAGAGGGAGAGAGAGAAGGTGAGAAGTCACCTCCGGAAGGATGGCTGCACCACAGTCCCTTCTCTGGCAGTGTCCTCTCCGGATTCTGGGCACGCATGCACATGCGCCTGGCATGATTTTTGAACTACCAGGTCTGGAACTCGAACCACAAAGGTGGCCATGTGGGATCCAGTACCTTAACCTCCACACCACTGTTGGCCCCAGACCTTTTTTAAAGAAGTATTTATTTAATTTATTATTACTACTTTTAAAAATTTTGCTACAGGGCACGTGCACTTACCAGAGAGAGACAGAGGGAGGGGAAGTAAGAAAGTGAGCCACCAGGTCCGGGACTCGAACCACGGCTTGCCTGGGTGGGACTCCAGCACCTTAATCACCACACCACCTGCCACCCACCCCCAGAGACATTTTAAACACAGATCAGATGGAGAGAGCCTGATCTCCTGCCTGCTGGCGGGCCTGGTGCCTGCCCACCTCCTCCTGGCCCCGCCATCAGACCACGCAGCCTCCTGCCTCAGCCCGGCTCCGCCCGCCACCGGTGTTGGCACGAGCGGGGTCACCTTGGAGGGGCCTCCCCGCCACTCTGTCTGGACACCCACTCCCGTGTCCTTTCGAGTTTACCTGGCTCCCAGCCGTCCCCCAACATGTCCCTGGTCACTGCACCTACCTCAGTGCCCACCACACCCACATGTGTGGCCAGCACAGGCCCCGGCATGTGGGCATGTGGAGGGTGACCGTGAGGGACCTGGGGCACTGGCGGGCCACGTGGCGCCACAGGTGGTGGTTCTGGGGCTGACGGTGCTGTGCCCGCAGATGAAGCTGCTGCCGTTCCGGCAGAAGAAGGCCCACATCATGGAGATCCAGCTGAATGGGGGCACCGTGGCTGAGAAGGTGGCCTGGGCCCAGGCACGGCTGGAGAAGCAGGTGCCCGTGCACAGCGTGTTCAGCCAGAGCGAGGTCATTGACGTCATTGCTGTCACCAAGGGCCGGGGCATCAAAGGTAGGGCTGAGTGGGGATGGCGGTGCCAGGGAAGGCTGCCGGAGGCCGCAGGGCCAGATCGGCTCTCAGCCGCCGGCCCCTCCCGCAGGGGTCACCAGTCGCTGGCATACCAAGAAGCTGCCGCGGAAGACCCACAAGGGGCTGCGCAAGGTGGCCTGCATCGGGGCCTGGCACCCTGCCCGCGTGGGTTGCTCCATCGCCCGGGCCGGGCAGAAGGGCTACCACCACCGCACGGAGCTCAACAAGAAGGTGGCGTGCAGCCGCGGGCACGGTGCCGGGCCCGGGGACTGGTCACCGCTTGGCATGCAGTGCACCCAGCAGCACCTGGGTCTGCGCATGTGTGCAGATGGGCAGGGGCACGCCACTGCCCAGGGCCACCTCTTGTCCCCAACGTGCCCTTCTCCCAGCAGATCTACCGCATCGGCCGTGGGCTGCACACGCAGGATGGGAAGATAGTCAGGAACAACGCGTCCACCAGCTATGACGTGACCGACAAGGCCATCACGCCACTGGTGAGGGTGGGCGGCCAGGCTGGCCCTGCCCCGAGAGCTGCCAACGTGTGCCCCACCGCCGAACGTGCCCTCAGGGCAGGCTGGGGCTCACGGTGGTACCAGGTGCACAGTGACGTGCACCCGGCTCCCCTCCCCCGGAGTCCCCAGCACTCACTGTATACACCGGCTGCCCGGTGGACTGGATCCCTGCTGCCCCGTGTCCACCACGCCTCCTCAGGAGGCAGCTTACTCACCGCCTGAGGCCCCCTGAGCTGAAGCCCAGGCTGGGCAGGCGACTTCACCCTCTGAGCCCTTTCCTGCCACAAGTCAGCCTGTGAAGTGAGATCCCGTGCAGGAAGGACAGCGCACACTCAGGTGCTGCGCCATGCGGACCTGGAGCGAAAGCGTCCCCCTGCACTGGGCTGCTCCCAGTCAGCCTGTGCGGGGGACTCGGGAGCTGCCTAGTAAGTGCGCCGTCCTTTCCTGGCCTGGCCCTGACCTGTGTCCTCACAGGGTGGCTTCCCCCACTACGGGGACGTCAACAATGACTTCGTCATGCTGAAGGGCTGCATCGCCGGCACCAAGAAGCGGGTCATCACGCTGCGGAAGGTCAGCCCTGGGCAGTGGGCCGGGAGGTGGATCCTGGGGCTGTCCTGGCCCTTGCTCTGTCCTGCATCCTGCTCAGAGGGCTGGTGGGTGGTGGGTGAGCAAGACCACCCTGGTGTGGACTGGAGGCGACAGGAGGAGCAGGGACCCTGGCCTTGACACTGTCCCCTCGGGCTTACCATCCCCAGTCCCTCTTGGTGCACCACAGCCGCAGGGCCTTGGAGGACATCGAGCTCAAGTTCATCGACACCACCTCCAAGTTCGGCCACGGCCGCTTCCAGACTGCCCAAGAGAAGAGGGTCTTCATGGTGAGCGGTCTGCTCGCGTCCTGAGACTGGGGCTCAGATATACCCCACTGCTCCAGAACAGGAAGATGCACATGCAGCCGGCTGCCCTCACCCGGCGGGGCTGCTAGGGGTCCGCCAAGGCACTGACTCTGCAAGGGACGGGAGGGGAGGCGCCGGCGGTAGGAGGGGGCGCCCGGGTCGCACATCCCTGGCCAGACCCTTCCGACCAACCCTCCTCTTGCCAACAGGGCCCCCAGAAGAAGCATCTCGAGAAGGAAAAGCCAGAGGCCTCGGCAGACTTGTAGCTGCTTGGCGTGGACTGCCGAAGCACGGCCACTCTGCCTGTCCCTCCCGTCTAATAAAGCCTGGAAGCGTCTCTTCCCGCTGTGTCTTCGGGGCGGGCACGCGGGGAAGCCAGTGGACGCCAGGGGCGGGGGGCTGGGCGGGGGCGGGGTGCTGGGCGTTAGCGTCAGGACCGGGCTGGGATACCGGTCCGCGGGTGCGCAGCCACCCTGAGTCCTAGCGGGGTCCCTGGTGCGCCCCCTGGTGGCTGAGGAGGGGAGGAACGCCAGGCAGGGCCTTAGGAGTCCCCCCCCCAAGGACAGGAACTTGCCGAGAGGCCGGGTGGGGGTGGTCCCCGGAGGGGCGGGGCCTGCCTGGAGGCCGGGT